CTTGTGCTGAGTCATTCCCTCATACTGCAGAGGACATTTTTCACAGGCAGACATTTACCATACAGGAGGGAAGCAATTGCCACACCCTGTTGGAAAACCTCTCACCCACCATGTAAAGTCTACACTTTGCTATGGTCTATAGCCTGAAGCAAACTAAGATGGAAAATAACAATCATATTCTAGAATGCTTTTGAGTCTTTGCATGATCTCCTTCTGGACCTGGGGCTAGGAAAAGCAGACCTTGGTGTACATCTTGGTCCTTTCCAAAGGCACCCAGTCTCAAGAGAGGGAGCCGAAAGCTGTGGATTGCTGATAACTACCAGAACTAACAAATGAATTCGGCAATATAGCAGGATACAAAATTAACACTCATAAGTCTATGGCTTTTTTATTCACCAGTAATGAACTTACAGAAAGAGAAATGAAAAAAAAATCCCATTTACCACTGCAACAAAAAAAAATTAAGATGCCTAGGAATAAATTTGACCAAGGAAATAAAGAACCTGTACTCAGAAAATTACAGGACCTTAAAAAAAGATATAGAGGAAGACATAAGCAAATGGAAGAATATACTGTGTTCACAGATGGTTAGAATCAACATCATTAAAATGGCCATACTACCAAAAGCAATCTATAGATTCAATGTAATACCCATTAAAATACCAACAGCATACTTCAAAGACCTAGAAGAAACTCTCCAAAAATTCATCTGGAATTAAAAAAGACCCCGAATAGCTGCAGCAATCTTGAGAATGAAGAACAAAGTTGGAGGGATCACAATACTAGATATCAATCTATACTATAGAACCACTGTTCTCAAAACTGCCTAGTATTGGCACAAGAACAGACATATAGACCAATGGAACCGAACAGAGAACTCAGAGATCGACCCAAGCCATTATGCTCAATTAATATTTACAACGGTGGCAAGAGCATACAATGGCGTCAAGAAGGTCTCTTCAATAAGTGGTGCTGGGAAAATTGGACAGATACATGCAAAAAAATGAAATTAGGCCACCAACTTATACCATACACAAAAATAAACACAAAATGGATAAAGGACTTAATCATCAGACGGGAAACCATAAAAATCCTAGAAGAAGCCATAAGCAGCAAAATAGCAGACATTTGTCATAGCAATATCGTTACCAATACAGCTCCTAGGGCAATAAAAACTAAGGAGAAAATAAACAGATGGGACCACATCAAAATAAAAAGCTTATACACATTAAAGAAACCATCAACAAAACAACAAGAAAACCCCCTATATTGGAAAACATATTTGCCAATGCTATCTCCAATAAGGGTTTAATCTCCAAAATTTATAGGGAACTCATACAACTTAACAAAAAGAAGATAAACAATCCAATCAAAAAATGGGCAAAGGACCTAAATAGACATTTTTTTGAAAGAAGACATAAGAAAGCCAAGAGACATATGAAAACATGCTCAAAGTCACTAATCATCCGAGAGATGCAAATCAAAACAACAATGAGGTACCATCTCACACCTGTCAGAATGGCTATCATCAACAAATCAACAAACGACAAGTGCTGGAGAGGATGTGGAGAAAAAGGAACACTCGTGCACTGCTGGTGGGAATGCAGACTGGTGCAGCCACTATGGAAGACAGTATGGAGTTTCCTCAAAAAACAAAACTATTAAAAATGGTACTCTCATTTGACCCAGTAATCCCACTTCTAGAAATATATCCCAAGAAAACAGAAACACCAATCAGAAAGGATATATGCAGCCCTATGTTCATAGCAGCACAATTTACAATAGCTAAGATTTGGAAACAGCCTAAGTGCCCATCAGCAGATGAGTGGATTAAAAACTGTGGTACATCTACACAATGGAATGCTATGCTTCTGTAAAAAAGACAGAATTCTTACCATTTTCGACAGCAATGGATCGATCTGGAGAGCATTATGCTAAGAGAAATAAGCCAGTCAGAGATAGATAAATATTACATGAGCTCATTCATTTGTGGAATATAATATACAACATAAACTGATGAACAAAAATAGAACCAGAGTCATAGAAGCATTGAACAGACTGTCCAATCTATGAGGGAAGTGAGAGGTTAGGGGGTAAGAGATCAACTGAAGCACTTGTATGCATGCATATGAACATAACCAATGGACACAGATGGGGGTGGGGTGAGGGCATGTGCTGGGTCATGGGGGCAGTCGGGGAGAAGCAATGGGGGAAAAAGGAGACTTATGTAATACTTTAAACCATAAAGAATGTAAAGTATAAAAAAAGAAACTATGAAAAATGATGAGTCGGAAATGAAGAATGACATAGCACTAGTAAAGAACACATTGGAAGGAATACACAGCAGATTAGGAGAGATGAGGATCAGATCAGTGAATTAGAACAGCGATCACCAACAGGTGGTCTGCCAAGCACTGGTGGTCCGTGAAGTCGGAAAGTTTGGCGACCGCTGGTTTAAGGAAACCTTTGGAGCAGCAGTCACCAACTGGTGGTCCATGGACCACTGGTGGTCCATGAGGTCTGACACGTTGGTGACCGCTGAATTAGAAGACAAGGTAGAAAAAAATAACTCAATCAGAGAAACAAAAAGAAAAAAAAACACAATGAAAAAACAGAAGGACAGCTTAAGGGAGCTGTGGAACAACATGAAACACGGCAATATTCACATCATAAGATTGCCAGAAGGTGAAGAAAGTGAGCAGAGATAGAGCATGTATTTGAGGAAATAATGGCAGAAAACTTCCCTAACCTGATGAAGGAAAAAGTCACACAAGCTCAGGAGGCACAGAGAATCCCAAGCAAGAAGAACCCAGAGGCCCACACCCAGACACATCATAATTAAAATTCCAAAAGTTAGTGAAAAAACTAAGAAATACAAATTGGTAGTTAAAGAACATCCTTAGAGGGAATACAGTCAATAATATTGTAATAACTATATATGGTGTCAGATGGGTACTAGATTTATAAAAGTGATCATTTTGTAAGTTATATACTTGTCTAAGCAAGGGGCTGTACACCTGAAACTAATATAATATTGTATGACAACTGTAAATGTAAAATAAAAATTATTTAAAAAATTACAGCAATCCACTTCCTAGAGAAGTGATCATATCACCACACAAAACCTACAAACAGATGTTTATAGCACATTTATTCCTAATCATCCAAATTGGAAACCATGCAAACATCCTTCAACTGGTAAATGGATAGCCTAACTGTGATACATCCATACTAGGAAATAAAAAAGAGTTTATATGGAAACCGCAGCAGTATAGATGATATTTAAATGCAATGTGCTACATGAAAGAAGCCAGGCTAAAAAAGCTTCACACTGATGAGTCCATTTATATGACATTCTGGAAAAGGCAAAACTGTAGAGTTATAAATGAGGTCAGTAGTTTCCAGGACTGGAAGTAATGGGAAGGAGTTTCAACGAAGGGGCTGAGGTAAATTTTTGTTCTGTATCTTGGTCATACTGTATGCATTTATCAAAACTCACAGAATTATTAATATAAATAAACCTCATAGAATCATGCAAGAGTAACTTTTATTGCATAAACTTGACTTTAAAAATGGTGACAGATAATTGGAGAAAAGTAAAAACATTGAGTTGGTGCTATGTTTAAAAGTGAGCTTATTTTAATAGAATGTTAAAATAAAAGGTTTAATAGGAAATCCATTTTTTGTCATTTCTGTTGGCAAAATATTTTAAGTTCTTTTATACTTCAACATAGTAAATCAAATAAAGCAAATGCCTAGAAGTGTCTAATGAAAACATCAATGACGGACATGACACCAATATTAACCCTGATAAACAGTTTACTTCAATTTTCTACTCCTTAATTAATATACAGGTATAGTTTACTATCCTTGATTTCTTTCTCAGTGCAGAATAAGTCATCTTCCATTTTCTTATGGATTTAATGTATATAAGAGGCATTCATAAATAGTTGCTTAATTGGATTAGTATAAATTATGTTCAGATTCAAGTTTTTCAATTTCTCAACTTGTGCCCTTCACAAAGAACAACCAGTCTGGAGCTCATACTTCTCCAGGATTAGGTTCAGCTACTCTGAGGGCTGAATAAGAATACTATCATAGCATAGGCATAATCTGTAACCAAGTCAAGATACATGTGTTTTCAGGGACACTAGCTAGGAAACTATGCTTGATAAAAAAGAAACAACACTAATGGGATGAGGTTCATTTGCGTAATTCCAACACTGTCAACTTTGTAGATAGAAACTCCTTCTCAAGGCCTAATGTCTCATTAATCACCTCCCAAATACGTGAAAACAGTCAAAAGTTACCCTGGAGATTTCCATTCTCTGAAGACAGTTCTTAACTGATGGATGTTTGCAGTATAATCTCCTCTGCACCCAGACCTTTTTAAACTTGATTTTTTAAAAAATAGGTTGGTTCAAATAACATAAAGTTCAAAACAGTATACCGTGCCCAGTTGGCGTGGCTCAGTGACTGAGCATTGACCTATGGACCAGGAGGTCATGGTTCGATTCCCGGTCAAGGCACATGCCCGGGTTGCAGGCTCGAGCCCCAGTGTGGGGGGCCATGGAGGCAGCCAATCAATGATTCACTCTCATCATTGATGTTTCTATCTCTCTCTCCCTCTCTCTTCCTCTCTGAAATCAATAATAATATATTTTTTAAAAAGTATATCATGACAACTTTCCCCCCAATTTTTGTCCCACATCTGACTAGATCCTACTCCCTCAATAGGTAGGCCCTGTTCTTTTATTTTTATGTAACCTTCCATAGTTTCTTTTTTGCATGGTTGTATTATCTTTATATAGGAAATCTAGAAAATATATA